TCGGCAGTAGCAAGGCGGCTCTTTGGATCTCAACAGGAGTCCACCGGTTCGTGTTTCCGAGAGCACCAAGGAAGAAATATATCGACTAATCGCAGATTGAGCAGGATCTATATCAGCTACATCGGATGACACACTAGGTGGGTGCGCAGGTACGTGTTCTCAATGGGCTGTATGTCGTAGCACGGGGCTTGGTCTAACTAATAGCAGAGCCATCGGTCACCGTGTCAACAGATGCCGAGGAGGATGGAGCGTCAGCGCAAGTTCGGAATAGCCTAAAGCGAGCCGCTAGCTCCGTTAGAGACGGGCCGGCCAGGAAAAGAGTGAGCTCGTGGAAGGTGCAGGATGCCCGAGAAGCTGGAGGTCGAGAATAATGTAAAATAGAAAAACAAACGATTAGCTTTTCAGTGTAATTTCAAGTGTATTCATGGCCCGCTTTGTATCCCATTAGAAATCGAGTGAGCAAAACATGAAACTTAGGTTAGGTAATAAAAAATGAGGATGTTGAGCTATGCAGATTCAAGATTTCGGCTCCACGACAAGATTTTGGCCCAAGTCTCAAGTCTTTTGAGAGAAAATGTGGCTAAGCTGTGGTGGCGTCTGAGATGTGGCGTCCGAAGTGGCGCAGTCTTTGTGGCGCAGGTGGCGGTGTTCCAGGTGTTGGCTTTTTCGAGGGGGCGGAAGGAAGAGCCTTTCGTTCCTCAAGGCACAGGAGACCGGCCCCCTACGGGGCCCGCCAGCAGACCTTTCGGAACGAGACTTTCCGGATTGTGGCTCTAGAGATGTGGCTTGAAGTGGCGCAGTTTTTGTGGCGCAGGTGGCGGTGTCCCAGGTGCTGCTTTCGAGGGGGCGGAAGGAAGAGCCTTTCGTTCCTCAAGGCACTACGTTCCTTCAGGCATTATACAGGAGAGACCCGAAGCTTTTCGCGGCGCTGACACGATGTTAATTGCCTTAAATAGTCTTCAATCAGTATTTTCGCATAGCATTTCATCGGTTCGCTATCAACATTCTCCAGCTCCAGTCACGTGCAAGAACTTATCGATAAGTCTACGTTACGGGCTTGCACTACCGTCGTCAGCCGACACAACCCAGCTCAGGTGATGCGGAGTTGAACCAGAGAGCACAACTGATACTTACACTGCAGGACCCTCAACTTATTGATGGTGCGGTCTTGTCAGATTCCCAAGCGACAGAGGGAATGGTAGAGGGCATGTCAGAAACATGTTGCAGACACGGCGTAATTGGGCGGAGATGTGTGAGCGAGGGAGCAATGTGTTTTATTTATGGATTGGAGGTCGATTATGCTAAGGAGTATAGGTCCGCTGATGCCTTGGATCCGTCGGAGACGCCTGTATACTACACTTTATGCTTGAAATACTGGATAAACTGACGCATAATGCCCTTGCGGATCAGAAAGATTCCCTTCCCTCTTGATAAGAGTATCCATAGAACTTTGGAATGAATGTCTTGATTGACTTCCTGGGAAGTTGACGAGCACACCATTCATCATCGCATGTCGCAATGGCCGAGAATATGCAGCCTGAGGCGAGCATAAGGATTGCTAGCCCGCTCTTGTGAAATGACGACCGCGAGGTTGGCTGGACCGTATGGCGGCATGTCGTTACTCCATTGCGTTAGCCTATACCTCGCTTCACCCATCGTATTCTTTGAGATATTTGCATTCAGAAAAATTCCCGCCTTCTCCCCCAACATTTCCTCTTTCCGAGGTTGACCAAGCTCTAATCGAAGCTGAAACAGGACCGCCTAACAAGAAGTTCATCTTGCTGGATAAGCAGTCCATACGCCCTAGGGCTGGTTTTATAGCAATAGAGATAAATTTAAGTTCAGGTGACCATTTAAGACTTCCTCTGCTATATCCGGAGCTCCCATGGAAAATGCATTAGAAGAAGTCAACAATAACGGCGCGGATGGAGATTGACTCAGGTTGAGAAATTGAACTATCAAATATGAATAGAAGTGTTATTCCAATGGTTAAATATGTATCGCAACCTGGAGTCAATCTGGATGTGAACGCGGAGTCGCTTGATCTACGAATAAAGAACCAGCCCCAGATCGGGGCCAAGCTTGAGCGAAGAGCCAGCGAGAACCTGTCCGACGCTTCCCAGTCTTGCTCCATGTATCCTCTTTTTTCCCTCCCCAGGGCTTGTGGCCATAATTGTCGGTCGCTCCTTAGTGTCCAAGGCCACTGTTACTGGCTCACGTCTAGCCATTTTATCCCTCGGGATAGTCATTGCTCAGCGCCTGCAAAATTCCCTTCCAAACTCCATCATCATCAGGTCCGACATCGTTCAGAACAGCTTCCAGACCCTTAGTCACAGCATCTGTCTTCTTTATGATCGCGCGGCTTTGAGGAATTGACGTAAGCCATCGTGAACTTCTAGAGAGTGTAGTCAGAAAAGGGAAAAAATAAAAATTAGTCGTTCCTGCTACGGAATTTGTAGAGTTGCTATCATATATCTCCAAGCTGAAATCAGGCTTCCCCTCTTACCCCGACAGGTAAATACCACCCTCTTTTTCTTTTCCCACTTGGTCTCTTTTTTCTTCACATTTCATTCATATATCCAGTAGGTATCCGGCAGGAATGTACTCAAAGCGTCTGCATAGTACTGCCTCGTTCATCGCACTTATCCCTTAAGCACCATTCAGTTCACTTGCCCTTTTTTTTTAAGCAGACCTTAAGCAGGTGTGAGACTAAGGGTGAGGACGGGACAGTTCCAGCTATCAAGAGCGGTGTACTGCGACATTTGAAGCACTGTCTGGCTTTGGTGTGTGTGGGTGTGGGTGTGTAACGCTCGGGGGCTACACTATTATCCAAGCGACGAGACCCCCACCTTAGTACGTAGCCACCAACTTCCCCGAGAGCGCCTGAGCGTTGGACAGATCATAAGTTGCCTCCGTTGGGTGCCTCGGTGAGTTGGAGGAATCTTTTGCGCTCTTATGATGATTGAATATGCAGAACTGGACGAGACCAATGTCTTTGTCTTCAACCCTTTTTTCGACTTGTTGGGACTAGGGAGAGTGTGCGAAGTACAGTGCTGATATCGATTGAAGGGATGTGTAGCCTAGCCAGATATGCTCCGAAAACTCTCTCGTTGTGAGGAACAAGGCGCTTTGTGCCCCAGTTCAAACATTAGCTTCCGATATAGTCCTACCCTAGCGCCGGAACGGACAGTCCTGGATGGCATGCCAGACTTTCAGCCAGCCTAAAAAGACGATCTCTAGCCCCAAATCCACATCCATATCAGGAAGCTTCGCTGGTTGCCCCGTTGGGCGGCATCAAGTGGCCAACACACAAAACACGTGGAGCGAATTGAGCCATCGTGGAACAATTCATGCATACCCCAGCGCAATGATCAGCGGTGGCATTTCTGGATGCACGCCCCTCGTCGTGGATTCATGTATATGATTTTTGCTTATTCTCGTTCCTCTTTCCCCATTCCCTTTCTTCCCATTCAGACTGCGCTGCGGTCGCCGACCACAAGGTACTGCGGAAACAACAACCCCCCTCGTCAACGAAATCTACAACCACAGGCCAGGGTATTCAATTCCGTGAGGATGGTCCCATAGTGTGCGCAAACAAAGCAGAAACTCCGGCAATTGGCTGATACACCCCTACATCTGGGTCCCCATCACTCCTGTCAACCTCCTTCCCGCTCAGCTCAACTCTCACCATTGGCCTGGCGAGTACACCAAATACCTTCACCCTGCCACCCCAATCCCATTTTCCCTCTCTTCTCGCATGTTGTCACTCTCGCTTCAAAACTGCGGATCAACGAGCGGGTATAAGCGGCTGCTATTACTGCAAGCTCCCCCGACAGGCACCGGGGCAGAGAGCCCCGAAGTGAGGAGTCCCAACATATTGCAAACGGGCCCCGCACAACGATCCCCGCCCCCCCTCCCCCGATCACATACTCACCAACCCACGTCTCTCAATTTTCATCTTCAAGCTTCGAACAGTGGTTTCCATACTCTGAAAAGCACGCGGGAAGTACTCTAATAGAGCCTCAAAGCAGCATCTCAGCTTGCTTTTCACAGAGACAGCTAGAGGTCTTTCTGCCCATTGCGACGTTTAGCGAACAGACATTGAGAAGCATCGCAGTATTACAAAGCATGGACCACAGACGCTACGATGAGGCTCCAGATGTTATCAGGCATCAGCCACCGATGGTATAGCACTTCAGCCGGAGTAAAACTACTGTTTGAAAGCTAACTATTCTCCGATAGGCAATTGATACTGCCCTTCGATCACATTGTGGCATCTGGGCCAAGCAATATTTCGTTGCCGTTATCATGGACGACGGCACACCTACGACATTCTTCAGCCCAGGCCCGAAATTCCATGATAGCGTCGTCCGCCAATTTTTTGACGCCAAGAAGTTTCAGCAGGTGGCAGGCCAGTTTGACTCTGGTGAGTATCTTATGATCTCCCTTGCGTACTATTCATGTGGCTTCTGACGCCCTACACTGCAGATCAGATAGGAACCGAATCTAATGGCCCGGATGAAACGGATGAAAGCATATATTTCCGACCGGTATTTGGCAACAGATACCAAACCCTTGACCGACTGCTTCTACCGAGTAACAGCGATGGCGACGAAGGAGCCGGTTACTTACCGCGGTTAGGGCGAAAGCGCCCGAGAGCACGTCATACAGTCGAAGACGAGGACCTAACGGTGCCAATCCTGTTGCATAGGGGAATACGAGTGAGCGACGCGAGGGCTCTTTGGAGTTTCTACGACCAGCGCTTCGAGAGTTGCCAGCAGTCTGCATGTAAGCTCATCGCGAAAGCCTGGGTCAAAGCAGTGGAACCTAAGAAGCAGTCAACACACCCTTACACTGGCAGTGATGCCAAAGCTCCTGACTGGTGGCCGAAGCCTTGGGGTCCGACTAAGGAGAATAGAGTCAGACACAAGGAGCCTGACCATTTATACAAAAGAGGTACGTGAGAACCAGCATCAAATCTGCTGTGTGGCTATACTGAGAAGACACAAGAACGTGTTCATCTACTGAATCATATCCTGGCCATGATTGTGGAGCCCATCGCAAAGCAGCATCCCAACGTGCGAAAACTGCATCTCAACCTAAAGAAGCTGGAAGAGTGCACTAATGAAGCTCTCTCCGGGTTCTTTGGAGAAACTCCACAAAATGCTAGCAAGAAGCTGTTTCTCAACGAAATCTTCAAGGTGGCTAGGCAACAGGACCTTTTCAAGAATGGCGAGATTGGTAAGAACCTCATGAATCCATTCACGGAGCATACGTCTCTAACATGTCCCGCCCCCCTTTTTTGCAGATGCTGCCACAGAACTATATATATTGAACGATGAAAGAATGGTGGATAATCTCTCTCCAGACAACAACGAGGGGCCCTTTGGTCACCATCACGATGACCAAAACATGTCGCCATCGACACGTTCTAACATTACCCACAGCTTTCACCAAACGCCGTCCTCTAAACACAGCCCAGCAATAATATCTCAAGCGGGTTCATTCATGAACAAACCCCCAATGCGGAACTCCCAACAGCTCCCTCCTCGGTGGTCTATGATCAATGACCTTAGCGCTCCACAGCAACCTGATTTAGTCGAAGATAGCTTGCCAGTTAATAGTACCAACTCTGTACACACCCCAAGTACGAGTATCGGTGTTGATATAATGCCTAGCGCTAACGGATCAAGTCGTCGATCGTCGGTGCTTCCAAAGTATAGTCATGTGGTTGGAAATGGGATGTATACACAGCATGGGCAGCCTGGAAGCGCAGCACCCAACGCTCAGGCGAATTATTCCAATAAACAGAATGGGCTGACACAGTCCTTTGTTACTACTGTTCCAGCAACCCCCCCTCAATCTTACATGGGCAACTCCTCTGTTGATACAATGACGAGACCCGGCTACGATCCTTATCATGGTCATGTATACCACGCTGGAGATGTTACTTCTGGACAAGTGGGCCAGCAGAGTAACTACAACTCCATTTCTAGCGACGGGCGAGGGCTTCAGACACCGCCAGATGTGTCTAAAGTAATCGACTCAGTGCCACGGGGTCATATGGAATAAGTCCCGGGCTTTTGTGATGTCCCCTTTCCTAGTTCTCTCTCGCCAATAGAGTGGAGCCATTCTGTCGCTACTTCGAAACCCTCATTGGAACGACTTGTTTTTTCATTCTCTTCATCAATTATAATTAATGTCGGATCGCTCACTTCCATATACGACCCCGTTTCTATGAATATCTCTCGGGTGAGATTTTATCTAAGACAAAATTGGGAGGCGTACTCACTTCTCACGCTTGACACCCCGAATGGCTTGTTTTTCGAATACGCTCTTAGCTGCGGTTTGTTGGGTTGCGTTTTATCGGTGAAAGTTCTTGGTTCCCTCCACCATTGTCCTGCCTTTCTTTTCTTGTCCTCATTGGCGAAATGTTTATCAACGGCAAGCTGCACTATATAGTTGACTAGTTGGCGACTCTAGAGCCAGCAAGGAATTTAGAACACATGAAGAAGTTGATTGAAGAATATAAACAGCATCAAAAGATACCTCGGGTTAAAGAGCAGCTATGGGAAAAGTGGACAAGGTGGGATCGGGTAGAGTAAGGGGCCGTAGAGGTCGCCAGCCTAATCT